CGGAACAGGCCGCGGTACCGGAACAGGCCCGGCGGTACCGGAACAGGCCGCGGTACCGGAGCGGGGCCGGCAGTACCGGAGCAGGCCCGGCGGTACCGGAGCGGGGCCGGCAGGGGGAGCGGCGGCAGCGGCGGTAGCGGCGCGGGGCCCGCAGGGGGAGCCCGCGGGCGGGCGGAGGCGGCGCGGCCCGGCCCGCTCAAGATGGCGGTGCGGAAGAAGGACGGCGGCCCCAACGTCAAGTACTACGAGGCCTCGGACACCGTCAGCCAGTTCGACAACGTGCGGCTCTGGCTCGGCAAGAACTACAAGAAGGTAGGCGGGCGAAGGGGCGAGGGGGCAGCGCCGCCGCCCCGCGCCGGGCCCGGCCCTGTCACGGGCAGCGCCGCCGCCATCGCCCCCCCCCCACCCCCGCCCCCGGGCCCCGCGGCCGCGCTGACCCCCCCCGGCCCCGCAGTACATCCAGGCCGAGCCCCCCACCAACAAGTCGCTGTCGAGCCTGGTGGTGCAGCTGCTGCAGTTCCAGGAGGAGGTGTTCGGGAAGCACGTCAGTAACGCGCCCCTCACCAAGCTGCCGGTGAGAGCCGCCGACACCGGGCCATGGGGGGGGACACGGCGGGGGGACACCCGGGGGTCTGGGGACAAGGCCCCGAGCGGGGACGGTGCCCCGAAAGGGCGCGGGGATGGACCCCGATGGCCCTGGGACGGGGTCTTGGATATCCGGGGGGAAGCTCCAATGAACGGGGGACAAGGACCTTGACTCGGGGCAGCACCCGAAGATGTGGGGGCGGCACCCTGATAGCCGGGGCCAGCCCTCGGTACCCGGGGGACAGCATCCCAGTCCCCAGGGACAGCCCCAGCGAGCTGGGGACAAGGCCCTGATGGGCAGGGACAAGGTCCTGAGCGGGGACAGTGCCTGAAACACGTGGGGAGAGCACGGTAATGACCTGGGTACAGGACCCCAAAGACCTGGGGACAGGGCCCAGGATGGAGCCCCAGTGAGCTGGGGACAAGGGCCTGAGTGGGGACAGCAGCCGAAGCCCCAGTGACCCCGTTCAGCATTGCAGTGACCTGGGGACAGCACCTGACCACGGACAGCAGCCCTGGGACAGTGCCCTGGTCAGGGACACGCCCCGCTGTCCTGGGGACGGTGCCTGGGGACGCTGGGGCACCGCTCTGCTGGCAGCTGCCCCCGGGCAGCATCTGTGCCCCAAGGACCAGGGAACGCTGCCCCTGGGGCTGCAGGACAGCACCCCATGGCCCTGGGGACAGTGTTCCCACACAGGGACAGGTCCCCAGCTGGGGACAGAGCCCCAGCCCTGCAGGGGCTGCACCCCAGCCCAGGGCACCTGGAGGAGGGGATGGTGCCCTGGCACAGGGGTGTCACCCCGATGGAATGGCACCCAGGGCTTGGGGACGGGACCTCGGCGAGGGGATGGCACCCACACGTGGGGGTGTCACCCCAACAAGAGGGTGACACCCTGACCCACCTCCTCCCGTTCCAGATCAAATGCTTCCTGGATTTCAAGGCGGGGGGAGCCCTGTGCCACATCCTGGCAGCGGCCTATAAATTCAAGAGCGACCAAGGATGGTGAGCACCCACCTGCACCCGTCGGGACGGGGGGTCTGGGGTGGCTGGGGGGGCCGTGAGGGGGTCCCGGGGGCAGGGGTGGGGGTCCCCTCCATGGGAACACCCCGGGGTGGCCTCGGGCAGGGGTGCACGGGGCGGGCTGGTTGTAGGGCTCCCACCCCCAGAGCAAACACGTGCTGGGCGGTGTCCCCTCCCCACCACGGACCCCTGATGGGGTTCAGGCGCGTGTCCCACCCCCACCCCCCCAAATTTTGGGTGCTGACAAGGAGACCTGAGCTGTGGCTTTCATGAGAGTCGCTCTTTTCTTCCAATAAGGCGGCGTTTCGATTTCCAGAATCCCTCGCGGATGGATCGCAACGTGGAGATGTTCATGACCATCGAGAAATCCCTGGTGCAGGTAAGAGGCCCCATCCCTGACCCCCCCCCGGGCCCCCCCTGTCCCCCTCCAACCTCACCAGTCTGCTCTCCCCCTCCCCAGAACAACTGCCTGGCCCGGCCCAACATCTTCCTGCACCAGGAGATTGAGCCCAAACTACTGGGCAAGCTGAAGGACATCGTCAAGAGGCACCAGGTGGGTGGCAGCGCTGGGGTGGGGGGCACGAGGGGGGGGGTTCATCCAGCACCTCATCCTGGTATTTAGCCCTGGATCCAACCCCCGGCTCTCGCAGGGCACCGTGACCGAGGACAAGAGCAACGCGTCCCACATCGTCTGCCCCGTCCCCGGGAACCTGGAGGAAGGTGGGCGTGAGGGAGGGGCTGGGGGGGGGTCAGAGCTGTGCCTGGGATCACGGGAGGCTCCAGGGGGGCCGGAGGATCAGTGCCAGCCCCCCCCGTGTCTCCCACAGAGGAGTGGGTCCGGCCGGTCATGAAGCGCGACAAGCAGGTGCTGCTGCACTGGGGCTACTACCCGGACAGGTGAGGGGGCCCAGGTGGGGGGGCTGAAACTTTGGGGAGCCCCCTGACCCCCCCAGAATCGCCGTGGGTGCCACTCTGACCCCCAATCCTTCACCTGCAGCTACGACACCTGGATCCCCGCCAGCGAGATCGAGGCGTCCGTGGAGGACCCCCCGACCCCGGAGAAGCCTCGGAAGGTAACGGGGGTGCCCCGGGCTGGGGGAGCAGCTGCAGCCCCCTCCCCACCTGACACACCCCCACACCCGCCCAACAGGTCCACGCCAAGTGGATCCTGGACACGGACACCTTCAACGAGTGGATGAACGAGGAGGATTACGAGGTGACGGACGAGAAGAGCCCCGTCACCCGCAGGAAGAAGATCTCGGCCAAGACGCTGACGGACGAGGTCGGAGCGGGCGCAGAGCCCCCCGTAGAGGGGGTGCTGGGGGGTCTTGTCCCACCCAGCTGAACCCAGTGACACCCCCCGTGTGCCTCCCAGGTGAACAGCCCCGACTCGGACCGGCGGGACAAGAAGGGGGGGAACTACAAGAAGCGGAAGCGTTCGCCCTCCCCGTCACCCACCCCCGAGGCCAAGAAGAAGAACACCAAGAAGGGGTGAGCTGGGCCGGTCCAGGGAGGGAGCCTGGGCCCCACAGAGGCTGTGGGAGGCTGGCCCTGGGGTGGTGGTGACCGGGCAGGGGGGGGTCTCTCCCTTCCCAGACCTTCCACCCCCTACAACAAATCCAAGCGCGGGCACCGCGAGGAGGAGCAGGAGGACCTGACCAAGGACATGGACGAGCCCTCGCCCGTCCCCAACGTGGAGGAGGTCACCCTGCCCAAAACAGGTCAGGGGGAGGATCTGAAGCCCCCCCACAAGGTTCCCTCCTTGTGAGCTGGACTGGGGTGGGGTGGGGGGTCTCCTAGGGGTGCTCAGTGCCGATTCCCTCCACCACAGTCAACACCAAGAAGGACTCGGAGTCGGCGCCCGTGAAGGGGGGCACCATGACAGACCTGGGTGAGTGAGGCACCGTGGCAGAGCCCCGGGCCCCCCGGCCTGGCAGTGCCCAAAACCACCCCTCTCCTCCCTTCAGATGAGCAGGAAGATGAGAGCATGGAGACGGCCGGCAAGGTGAGCCCAGGGTGTTCCCAGCACGGAGAACTTGCCCCTCTCCTGGGTGCAAAAATGCCCTTTTCTGCCCATCCCCTCACCCCTGGGGCTGCAGGCACCTTTGCCCCAGGCCATTGGCCTCATCTTGCCCTTGGTGAGGATGATGAAGGGCGCAGAAAGGGGGCCCAGGACCCCCTTGCCCATGCTGTGCTGGTCTGTGGGCAGGACGAGGAGGAGAACGGCACCGGGAGCAAGGGGGAGCAGGCCAAGAACCCCGACCTGCACGAGGACAACGTGACGGAGCAGACCCACCACATCATCATCCCCAGCTACGCCGCCTGGTTCGACTACAACAGGTACGGGGCTGCCCGAGGGCGAGGAGGGGGATGAGGATGAGGAGGGTGTCCTGGCCACCCGCCCACCTGAGCGTCTCCTCCCGCAGCGTCCACGCCATCGAGCGCCGCGCCCTGCCCGAGTTCTTCAACGGCAAGAACAAATCCAAGACCCCCGAAATGTGAGCCCTGACCCCCCATCCCACCCCTGTCACCCCCGGGGCCGTGCCTGGCGCTCACCCCCCCTGCCCTCCCGCAGATACCTGGCCTACCGCAACTTCATGATCGACACGTACCGGCTGAACCCGCAGGAGTACCTCACCTCCACCGCCTGCCGCCGCAACCTGGCCGGCGACGTCTGTGCCATCATGCGGTGGGTGCGGGGCCGGGGGGCTGGGGTGGGGGTTTGGCACCCTCGTGTTGGCAGGAGACCGGGGCCAGTGGGGCTGGGACTGCGGTGCTGACAGGGGTCAGTGTGGCACCTCAGCATTGGCAGGGTCACTGTGGCACCCTGACGCTGGCAGGGCTCTGGTGCCACTGGGGCACCCTGGTGCTGGTGGAGCGCCAGGCACTGGCAGGTTTTGCACACTGGGGCTGACAGGGATCCGGTGCCAGTGGGGCAGGGGTGGTCAGTGTGGCACCCTGATGATGGCAGGGGTCTGGTACCAGTGGGGCAGGGGTGGTCAGTGTGGCACCCTGACGATGGCGGGGGTCTGGTACCAGTGGGGCAGGGGTGGTCAGTGTGGCCCCCCACAGACACCCGTGGGGGTCCGGCAGGGCCTGATCCCAGCTCTCCGCAGGGTCCACGCCTTCCTGGAGCAGTGGGGCCTCATCAACTACCAGGTGGACGCCGAGAGCCGTCCCACCCCCATGGGCCCCCCGCCCACCTCCCACTTCCACGTGCTGGCCGACACCCCCTCGGGGCTGGTGCCGCTGCAGCCCAAGACGCCCCAGGTGGGTGCGGGGGGCGTCCGCCCCGCCCAGCCGAGACCCCCCCCTGCCGCCCCCCGGACCCCTTGGGGGCCGGGCGCGGGGCTGGGAGGGGGGTGGGGGATGCACAGCTTCGATCCGTGCCTGCCTCAGGGCCGGCAGAGCGACGGCGACGCCAAGACCGCCCGCAAGAGCAAAGAGATCGAAGAGCTGGTCAGCGAGACGGTGAAGGGGAAGCCGGAGCTGGTAGGCGGCTCCTTGGGGTCCGTGCCCCCGCCGCTGGCCGAGGAAGGCTCCTTCCCTCCTCCCCCTCGCGCCCCGCATGCCGCCCTGCCCGCCCCGGGGAGCAGGGACGCGGGGGGGACACCGCGACGAGACGGGGCACGAAGGCTTCTCTGGGCTGGAGGGGCTGGGGGGGCACCGGTATCCTGACGTCCCGTCCCCCCACGGCCCCGTCCCAGCGTCCCCTCTCCCCTCAGCAGCCGACCTCGGCCTCGCAGCAGATGCTGAACTTCCCGGACAAGGGCAAGGAGAAGCCGGCCGACATGCAGAACTTCGGCCTCCGCACCGACATGTACACCAAGAAGAACGTCCCCTCCAAGGTGGGCACCCCCCGGCCCGGCCCCGGCCCCCCGCCCGCCGCCCCTCACCCCTCCCTGTCCCCCCGCAGAGCAAAGCCGCCGCCAGCGCCACGCGGGAGTGGACGGAGCAGGAGACGCTGCTGCTGCTGGAGGTGAGTGGGGGTCCGTGGGGAGAGGGGGACGGGGCTGCCAGACCCCGCTGACGCCCCCCCCGCCCCATCCCGCAGGCCCTGGAGATGTACAAGGACGACTGGAACAAGGTGTCGGAGCACGTGGGCAGCCGGACACAGGACGAGTGCATCCTGCACTTCCTGCGGCTGCCCATCGAGGATCCCTACCTGGAGGACTCGGAGGCGTCGCTGGGACCGCTGGCCTACCAGCCCATCCCCTTCAGCCAGTCGGGCAACCCTGTCATGAGCACCGTGGCCTTCCTGGCCTCCGTCGTCGACCCCCGCGTGGCCTCCGCCGCCGCCAAGTCGGCTCTGGGTAACAGGGCTGGGGCAGGGGTCCGGCCTGGGGGCTGCAGGAGCCCTGGGGGAGAGGGGACAGGGACCACGGGGACAGGGAGGAGTCCTGTAGGAGAAAGGAATGAGTCCTATAGGGAGCCCTATAGGAGGACGAGTCCTATAAGGAGTCCTTTAAGGCATTCTGTAAGGAGACAGGACAGGCGTTACGGGCAGAGGGATGAATTCTGTGGGGAGCCAGGATGGGACAAGCCCCCCAAGGGATGTGCAGTGCTGGGGGGCTCCAAGGGGCTCTGGGGGTCCTGCTGAGGCCTCCCCGGCCCTTCCCCCAGAGGAATTCTCCAAGATGAAGGAGGAGGTGCCCACGGCGCTGGTGGAGGCCCACGTGCGCAAGGTGGAGGAGGCGGCCAAGGTGACGGGCAAGGCCGACCCCGCGTTCGGGCTGGAGAGCAGCGGCATCGCCGGCACCACCTCGGACGAGCCGGAGCGGATCGGTGAGGGGCCGGGGGGAGCTCGGGGGGCTGGGGGGGCAGCGGCAGGGCCTGAGCCCGGGTTTGTGTCCCCAGAGGAGAGCGGGGCGGAGGAGGCGCGGGCCGACGCGCAGCCGGCCGAGGAGAAGAAGGAGGCGAAGGTAGCGGGGGTTTGGGAGGGGGCTGGGGGTCGGGGAGGGGGGCTGGGGCAGGACTCGAGTGGGGCCGTGGGGCCGGTCCCTCCCCAGGAGCCCAGGGACAACACCACCGAGGAGGAGGCAAAGGAGAAGCCTGGGGAAACACCCAAGAAGGAGGAAGAGAAGGGGAAGGAGGTGGAGGGCGAGAAGGAGCCCGACAAGGGTGACAGCGATGGGGCAGGTGAGTGGGGGACCCGGCGGGGCTGGGGGGACACTGAGACCCCCCCAACACTGCTGACACGGCCCCCACTGCGCCACAGGAGAGCCGGAGAAGGAGAAGGAGGTGAAGGAGGGGCCGGATGAGGCACCCAAGGAGCCTCCAGAGCCCGAGGCCGAGCGCAAGGCCAAGGTGGAGCGGGACATCGGCGAGGGGAACCTCTCCACCGCCGCCGCCGCCGCGCTGGCCGCCGCCGCCGTCAAGGCCAAGGTGAGGGCTGGGGGTGTGGGCTGGGGGGTGACCACAACCCAGATGTGGGCTCTGACCCCCCCCGGGTGTCCTCCCCCAG